TATCTATTATAGCTCCTTTCATGCTTCTTGTGGTGAATTAGGAGTGATTTCTAATTACATTTTTGCTTTCATTTTACTTTTGTATATACGTTATTTTGGCTTTTATTTTGGACCCATTAGAGGTTGGTGGGCTCGTGTTTACAGGATTTGTGGGTCTCTCTCTCTCTTACTCACTGAGTCTGAACACTTGCCAAACTTTCCTAACTAGATGGCAATGCACGCTCGCCAACTATATCATCTCAGTTGAGCGTCTAAAGCAATTCATGAACCTTCCTTCTGAACCAGCAGCAATTGTAGATGATCACAGGCCACCACATTTGTGGCCTGCCAAAGGGAGGATAGACTTCCAGGACCTCAAGGTGATGAAAACCTTTTGCCAAGTCCTGTATTAAGCACATTCCTAATCAAAATCTTCTTTTCTCTCAAATTCTTGTCATGTGCATTGGCTGTTGTTTACTCTCGTATCCTGACTCGCTTTGCCAAAGATAAAGTAGTTTCATCAAAAATCATTTCAATGATATTTCTTGCAAACATTGTAAATGTTTCTCTTTTTTAAATTCCTTTTATGGCCGCTCATTAACACGTGACTAATGTTCTCTGCCATCGTCTAGCTTTCTTTGCTAAGTAAACAATAATTCTGATTTAAATTTGTAAACAGCCTAGACATGGGAAATCTTGACACGGAACCACCATTATGTTTCTATGTTTGCTATCCATTTTATGATAATTGTGTTATGTATTCATTTGTCTACTTTCTCACAGATAAAGTATCGACGTGATTCTCCACTAGTTCTTAAAGGGATTACATGTGCATTTGAGGCTTGCAAAAGAGTGGGAGTGGTTGGAAGAACAGGTAGCGGAAAAACAACACTGATAAGTGCCCTATTTCGTCTGGTTGAACCGGCAAGTGGGAAGATCCTTATAGATGGACTGGACATTTGCTCCATTGGTCTTAGGGATCTAAGAAATAAGCTTAGCATTATACCCCAAGAGCCAACTCTTTTCAAGGGTACTATAAGGAGTAACTTGGACCCTCTAGGCGTCTACAGAGACCATGAGATATGGGAGGTGAGTTTAAAGATCTGCTGGCTTAGATACCAATCCTGTTCTGGAAAAAAATCTCAACATCGTATTCAAGCTGTTTCATTAAATCGAAGAGGATAATTTTCCGTATAATATTTATGCAATTCTGTTGCATATTAATAAAATAAATAGAAACAGACCTTCAATGGTTCGATGTACAGGACCATGATCAGACTCAAGCTTGCAAATTTAGACGCGCCTTTACATCTCAATCTCCAAGCTAAAATTTAAAAATCTTATGCATTGCCCAAGTGATGTAACTTGTATACTTCTCCAAGCTGCTCTTTCACTCTGCACATATATCTAAGGTGACACACACAAACACACCACGGTTGAAAACACATGCGCACACACACACATGCCCGCCAGTCAACAATCACTGGAGACCCTTAGAGGTGTTATTTTGGAAAGGACTATCTCGACTCAGAAGATGTGTTTCTGTACAGTCTTAACTGATGAATTTGAATTCATCATAGTATAGGAGTGAGTACAATCAGCACCAAATATGGCTGATTTTCAGTTTTTCAGGATATATTTATGTGTGTACCAACATTGGACGATGTGTTCATTTAGTATTTAATTGTAGATAGTTGAACTTATCATGTATAACTCTGCTGGTATGATTTGTTTCAGGCCATCGAGAAGTGCCAACTGAAGACCACAATCCAGGGCCTCCCAAACTTGCTCGATTCAACTGGTACGGTAATTTTTCGATGGGATCATGTGGTTCTTTTTTCTTTTTAGCTAGAGAAATGCTAAGACCTTGAACTTGAGATATACCCTTTGGGCCCTTTGCTTTTGATATTGATAGTGAGCGATGAAGGAGGGAATTGGAGTGCAGGGCAGAGGCAGCTCTTTTGCCTTGGAAGGGTCCTTCTAAGAAAGAATAGGATATTGGTTCTTGATGAGGCAACTGCATCCATTGATTCTGCCACTGATGCTGTTCTTCAAAAGGTCATAAGAAAGGAATTCTCAAACTGTACGGTGATAACAGTGGCGCATAGGATCCCCACAGTCACTGATAGTGATCTCGTCATGGTTCTTTCTTATGGTATGCTCTCTAGTATTCTTTTCCTGTATATTTCACACGCATACACACACATAGATAGATAGATACATATCAATATTGGTTTAACATGCTTTTAATTATGCGAAGTATTCTGACCTTTACCAAAGATTTGGATGGCAGCTACCATTCCCCTTCAATGCAAATAAAAATTTGTTAATTTACCTATGCAAGTGTAAAGAACACATTATAAAGTCTGATGAATAGGTCCTTGGTCTGCTTGCTAAGGGTGGCAGAGCCACATTTTGGCATCAGGAGTTCCATTCCTACTCCATTAAAATGCACCAAAAAACCTATATACACAAGGAGTAAGCACACACTTTCGCACAAAAAATGTTAGCTAGTCAGATGAGTTATTGGAACTTACAAGATAAAAACCTATGAGAATCATGTTATTTAATGTACTAGCAATCAGATATAACATAATGTGCCAGTAATCAGTTATAACATGTTGACATCCATGTATTATATTACTTCGGAGAGTTGGCACCTCAAATTATGAAACAGTACAAAGTCCTATAGTCACGCCAAAATGGTTCATTCATGAAAATTGTAAGATAATGATGGAATTGGATTGGCCTGTTCCCAAGTTTTCACTTGTTATCTAGTTAGTTTTTCAGAATGAACTGATATTTACTTGAGTATCCAATTTGATCCATATTGTGTTGAATTGGCGGCCCTCATCCAGTTTTTATAACATTAATTTGGTCATCATAGTAATGTTCTTACACAAATATAGCCACTCCCTATTCTATTCAAGGGATGCATGTTATTGATTTATTTGTTGAGAGTTTTTGGGGTGAATTTCTTGCATGAAAATGAGTCAAATTTTGACAGTAACAAAAAGTTGTAATCTGTCATTCATTTGAAATATACTCAAAAGTGTCTAAATTTCGCTGGAAATGAGGGTTCGATCAAATTTAGTGGAAATTCATTTAAATTTTTGGATTGGAATATCTCTTCCTAAATTGGAGGTAGAATTATTGGTAGGGTTTCCCCAGTTTCCCACAACACAGCCTACCAATATTTTCAGAAATTTGGAACCTTGAGCTTGCTTTCAAAAGTACGATCATGTACGAAATAGAGCTGTTAACAAGCCCAAGAAAAATGTTTTTTTTTTTTCAAAATAAGTTGGGGCAGATTTGTTATTTTCCTTTTTCTTTTATTTTTAATTTTATGGTTTCTCTATTTGCATAAAACTATTATGCTTGGTTGATAAGGACGACATAAACCCAGGTTTTTATAACTAAGTTTTGCATGACTTGTGTTGACAGGTAAGCTCTTGGAATATGATAAGCCGTCAAGACTCATGGAAACCAACTCTTCCTTTGCCAAGCTTGTGGCTGAATACTGGGCCAATTGTAATACAACCACCCATTAGAGAGAGAGTAGTATGTGAAGAGAGAGAGAGAGAGAGAGAGAGAGAGTAGTGTGTAAGTTTGGTGAGGGAGAGAGAGGGAGAGAGGTGCATTTGGAAGTTTGATGCATGCCATCGCGGGGATGCATTGTAGAATTAGGGTAGCGCAGGGTCTTAATAATCATAGTGTAGGATAATAGGGAGGTAATTATAGTGTTGGGTGACCTAAGTTAGAAGCCTCTCTTGGCTTGTGTATTGGCCATGAGCGGTAGGAAAAATTCTCATAGAAAGAATGGGTTTGTTTAGCATTTACAGGGTTGATATAATGTAGATAGCACTTGGCATGCTTCACTTGCCTCGAACCATCGCCTTTATTTCAAATATAATTCAATAGAACGTGCTCTCTCCAAATTTTGATATCAGTTGACTATATACTTTCTGCAACGTAATGTTCTTGAACCCCTTACCCCTCTCCCGCCCCCTCCCCCTTTCCGTTTAGGTTGGGCAATAGAGGAAGACTTGAACTGGGACCCGCCGGGTATATCCGACACAAGTTTGGGTATGGGCCCAATAATTGAATCTGGTAGGTTGGGTCCAGGTCCAAAACTTGTAGTTTGGGTCCGGTTGGATCCGATCGGTGCCTGTAAACTTTTGGAGATAAAATACTTCAAGCTTTATTTGTTTGAACGTATTGAGGATCTTATACAATAAGAAGGTATAATCATCTTTAGCAATTAAATGACAAATAAGATGGCTTGAAAGCAAATGGTGGATGATTGTTATGTTGCCAATAATTTGGGCATATGATGGTAAAGAAAGGGCCAAAAAATAAAAAAAATTCATGGTGAGGGTGGTAATGGTCTCAAGCACTAGGACCTGTCGGGTATGGGTATGGTTCTGGACCCTACGGGTCAGGTCTAGGTCTAAAACTTGGACTCGAATACATTCGGGTTTGGGTCCGAGTCAAGGTCCAGCCGGTCTGACTCATGCTTGACTTGTTGCCACCCCTACTTGTCTCCCCAACTTTTTTTTTGTTTTTTTTTGGATGAGTGCATTTACAATAGAATAAAAGAAGAAAGCTATCAAAGAAGAACACCATCACGGTAGTTAAAATATAGTGATGCATCATATGGTCATCATGGTATTTTAAGTATCGTGGTGCTTTTACGGTCATATGACTATCGTGAAGGTTATTTTTTAAAAAAATTGTAGAAAAAAATAAAAAGAAAAAGGTATGGTGGAGGTTTAGAAAAGTATGAGGTTTTTTTTTTTTTTCTAATAAACCAATAAGTAAAAAATTAAGCAATATTTTTAAAACTCTTCCCAACGTTTATAGGTAAAATAAACAGTGATTTTGTCTACTCTCATTACCATTCAAATTTTATCGT